AAGTCAAGTGCTCGGCGCAGTTGTCGGCGAAATGTCATTGAAACAGCTCCTTATATCCGTTAGGGCAGCTAGCTAGCACCAGATGCTAACAACAACAACACGTAAGGTGTGCCTCGCTCGCGCGAGTCGCGCCACACATACACACTCCCTCCCGGTCCTCCCGATGGCCAGTCCGGGCCTGCCGGTGGGCGTGGAAGTGTGGTCTGCCACAAGCGGGCGGCAGGAGCGGGGCTGTCAGCATCAGCTTGTAGATGGTATTTTAAACTCGATGCGCTCTGAAACTACGGGGCGGCCGAGGACAAAAAATACACATGCGTTAATCGCGTTAAAATAATTAGTGGCGTTAATTTTTTTTTGCGTTAACGCGTTATTAACGCAGCCCTAGTTATGATATATTCCAGGGACTGTGATGCGCCATTCGCATGGCGCAATAGGCATGGGTTATTATCTGAGCAGGTGTGTTTGTCCTTCTTGTACCGGGGCGACCCAGTGGGGCGCAGACTACATCTTGCTTCGCCCTTAACCCAATAGCGATAGCCTTAGAGGGCGAAGCCATATACGAAATAGAACTGAAGTTACCTACTGTAACTCCAGCTTCTATGAGTATTGGCGTAGCCCTCTAAGTTCTGGGCCCCACTGGCTCCACGAATAGCTGAAGAAAAGGTTTTTGTGTGGGAGCAGATTGTCGGGCCTCCTTCCTATTTATACCGGAAGGGAGCCCGAGGGTGGGGCCCACCTTGCGGGCGGGCGTGGACTACAAGTGTTTCTGTGCTGCGCGGGTGCGCAGGGGGATTACCCAATAGCGATAGCCTTAGAGGGCTACGCCAATACTCATAGAAGCTGGAGTTACAGTAGGTAACTTCAGTTATGAATGCAGTGTTATATTTGGTGCTATTTGGTGTTTCTGTAGTTTTGAGTGCAGTTCTTCACTTAGCAGGAGACAGGAGGTGTTCTGCACTTTGGGTGGGGTTTTGTGAATTGTGTTTAGTGTTCTGAGAAACTGAGCAATTAAAAAGATAATTGTGTTAGCAATCGAGAAAAACTGTAAGAGTAGACATCATGTAATCGTTGTAATCTTTCTCTGCAGAAAGCTGTATGTACAGAGCATAGCCCATAACAGATGAGAGTGCTTTAGAGCAGGGGTTCCCAACCTGGGGGGCGCCAGGCCTCAGATGATTTGAGGCCAAATATCATATTTAGACTTTCTTTTTTTATATATAATTGTAACGCAATACATGATTGTCCCTAAAAGCCTTGTCTCCACATTACAATAACATACAAAATAATTGATTAATTAATTTTAATCAAAATTCAAGTTAGTAGCTATTAGGCATAAAAAGACAGAAATGTATAATTCTTTCTTTAATAGAAATGTTTCTTCTGCCCGTAAAGTGTCCAAACCAGGCTTTTCTGGATAAGCGCATTTTTTAAACATAGTCATTGTCCATGCCGGTTTCAGATTATTTGTCACAGTTGCTCCGATCAGATCGGTCTCCTCCATTTTGTAGATTATTTACGACTTTTGAATCCACATAAACACATCGGCAAAATCCGGTTTACTTTGAGCATGTGTTTTAAATAGTTTAATCCCTTTGTGAATTGTTTCTACTTGCGCCGTCCTTTCATTTCTTCATACAGCGGGAATCCAAATGAATGAATCCTGAGTCCAATAACCATCAAAGTCACTTTCATCCCCCTTTAACAACATACTTCACATTCATCCAGTTTGTGACAGGAGTTGTAGCATTTTTAGACTTTTAACTTTAATTACCGCTGTTGCACCCCCCCCCCCCCCCCCCCCTTGTGTGTGTGTGGGGGGCGCAACTTCCAACAGGAGTCATTTGGGGGGGCTCTTGGGAAAAAAGGTTGGGAACCCCTGCTTGAGAGTATGCTCAGCAGTGTGTAGCTGGGTGAGTATGCTCAGCAGTGTGTAGCTGGGTGAGTATGCTCAGCAGTGTGTAGCTGAGTGGTCAAACCATCTAGTTATGAATGCAGTGTTATATTTGGTGCTAAAGTTTGCATTTGGTGTTTCTGTAATTTTGAGTGCAGTTCTTCACTTAGCAGGAGACAGGAGGTGTTCTGCACTTTGGGTGAATTGTGTTTAGTGTTCTGAGAAACTGAGCAATTACAAAAATAATGTGTTAGCAATCGAGAAAAACTGTAAGACCACTTTGAATAGAATTTAAGACCTATTTCACGGCAAGAAAGTATGAAGGAAAATTGCTATGAAAGAAGAAATACGTCCCATAATTACTTACAAAGTAAATGTATTCATGTTCAACATAAGAACAATGACTGAACATAACAGTACACTGAACTGTGTTAGCGTGTGTGTGTGTGTGTGGGTGTGTGTGTGTGTGTGTGTGTGTGTGTGTGTGTGTGTGTGTGTGTGTGTGTGTGTGTGTGTGTGTGTGTGTGTGTGTGTGTGTGACATTGCACTGTGACAACTTTTGTAAAAACATGTAACTGTACAGTTCGGCATTAATATCTTTATTATTATTATATCACATATTGTTGTTATATATTGTACAATGTGCAATTTGACCTTTTATGTAAATATTGTTATTTTATTGCACATTTTAACTTTAACTTCTTATTTATCCAGACACATTCTTATTCTATTTTATTACAACTTGTATTGCACTCTTTGTACTTTCACTTCTTATTTCAACATAAATATTGTTATTTAAAATCATATTGAACATTTCTACTTTCATGTCTTGTTTTATGTTGATATGGTTATTTTATTCTAGGTACATTCATCTTTTTATTATATTGCTCTTATCTTGAAATTCACACTTTAACTTCTTATACTTAAATGTTGCTATTGATGTTATTGACCCGTTGGAAGCACTTTCTCATGTTGACATTATGTTTGAATTACATTTGGTTTGATTTTGTACTGCACGTTTTTACTTTTTATGTTTTTATAAGTTATTTAGTTTGATCTCAAATTGAGCACGTGTCTCAAAACACCATTTCCTCCACAGGGTGATGAAATGATTCTGATCTAACTTCCATGCTGAGAGGGCGGGGCCGGTGTCAAATGATGCACCCCGTCGTGAAATGCACCCCGTCGTGAAATGCACCCCGCCGTGAAATGCACCCCGTCGTGAAATGCACCCCGTCGTGAAATGCACCCCTTGACACGGGAACGCGCATTTGAACGTGTATTCTATGTTGTCTTTTTGATGGTTGTTTCATTCACTCGTCACTTTTTTTCAGTTAATTTAGTATTTAATATATGTTTTTATTTCATTGTGACGTCCTGTCTGTATACTTGTGCTTTACAATGTATTGTTTATTTTTACATCAAGTCCTTGAGGGTGGGATTAATAGAAACATTTTATTTAGGGGGGTGCTTTTTATGAACAGCCTGGTTGCCACGATATGCACCCCTTGCTCTCTCTGACAAGAAGCGTGTCACATGAAACTTGCTCCATGTATTGGTGCTAGTCCTACAGAGTGTAGAGTACAGGCCAGGGGGTGCATCATTTGACACAACACCGGCCGGCCTTTCTGCGCGACTGTCACTCAAATGCGGGACATAGTCTCAATATGCGGGACATAGTCTCAATATGCGGGACATAGTCTCAATATGCGGGACATGTCTCAATATGCGGGACATAGTCTCAATATGCGGGACATAGTCTCAATATGCGGGACATGTCTCAATATGCGGGACATGTCTCAATATGCGCACAAAGCGGGACATGTGGTCACCCTACTCTCTTGGAGAAAATAAATTGCAACATCCAATAAAAAAGTTCAAAACCCAAATATACAAACGAAAATAATACATGTAATGCTATAATAAAAAGAGATGGACGAATTCATTTCAATAAACATGTGAAAACTAAATCATACTGGTTTTAAGGGGTTTATTTTGAGTTAAAGGCTTCCCGGACGTCGTGAAGGTCATGAATCATGAATTGTTTCATTACTTTGAACAAAATCTGATTAATTCTTTAGTTTTTTCACTAAAATCCGTATCGTTACTCCGTTACTCAGACATGGAGATATGAGTGTATCACACAGAGTATATCATGATGTGATATGAGTGTATCACGGAGTATATCATGATGTGATATGAGTGTATCACACAGAGTATATCATGTGTACTCCAGAGTGTGTCTTGCTTTCCCCAATAGTGCGATAGTCTTAGCCAGTTTAGCTTTGACATGATGGACATGAGGTTTCCAGCTGATGTTGTGCTCTAACACCAAGGAACTTGTTTACATATACTCTTTCTATGTTTATGTTGTCTAGGATTAACCTGAGGATTTGTTTGAGGTTTTCCAAAGAGCATAATCTTTGTTCTGCTTATATTTAATGATCATTTGTTCTTATCAAACCAATGTTTGACTTGAATCATGTCTGTTGTTATTACCTCCATTAGCTGTTTCAAACTGTCACCAGAACAAAACATATTAGATTATACATTTTACTCTGTACTTCATGTATTCATTATTAAGATGCTTATTATTTATTTATTATTTATTATATACCAACCATCTGCCTCAGATAAAATAAGACCTTCCTTTGTGTGTGTGTGTGTGTGTGTGTGTGTGTGTGTGTGTGTGTGTGTGTGTGTGTGTGTGTGTGTGTGTGTGTGTGTGTGTGTGGGTGTGTGTGTGTTCCAGAAACATGACGAACAGACCGGAAACTAATATTGTTTCAAAATAAAAGTATGACTTTATATTTGATGTATAATCAGTGGCTCAGCTTCACAGAGAAATACTCAGTCAGTGATTTACATTGTCAGGTCAATAAAACATCCTGTGGAGATGAAACATTAAAACACATTTTCTACTTCATGTATTAATATTGTATTACTTTAAATAATACAACTTCATAATTTCACCGAACAAATATGAATAATTTAAAACATTATGATATTAATTATCGTTATTATTGAAATATTTTGTAGTGATTTCATTCAAATCAAGTATAAAGGAAACGCCCTACTTTTATTTTGAAGGTGAGTAACCGGAAGTATGTGTGTGCGTGTGTGTGTGTGTGTGTGTGCGCGTGTCGCAGAGCTGATTAACCTGCAGCAGCAGCAGCAGCAACAAAAGAGCCATCAGACAGAAGAGCAGAAAAACCACTGAAAGCTGTTTTTACCCACCGAGAACAACAAGGTAAACAACAACAAGGTAAACATCGACACGTTATTTACATGTTACAGTTTAACCCCGAGTCTCACGTGCCTCTCTGTGTGTGTGAGAGTGTGTGTGTGAGTGTGTGTGAGAGTCGGAGCCGGTGATTGTGCAACCTGCTGCCAATTAAACAATCTAGAAACGAGGCTCATCTGAGGGGTTAGGTTCATTTGGTTAGAATATGTTCGGAAATCATCGAGTAATCTCGGGATGAATCGGCTTTTTGTTCGGGTGGTGATGAGCCAACGCCTCTTACATAAACCCAGAGCCTGCATGCATCCTCAGGTCTGCTGCAGAAACACGTCTTTAGTCTGGGTTTAACCAATCTGCTGATCGATAGGCCTACTTATCAGCGCAATGAACTGTGTCTGATCTGGTCTTCATATACATTATTTCATGACATTCTGTTCTTGTACATATCATATTATATGTACATGTAGATAGACTTGTTGCACTATTTTCTATTTGTATTTTGTTATACATGTTGCATCGTTGGAGGAGCTCGGGTCAGGAGAATTGTATCTTATGAGCTAATGACGATACAACCTTTGAGTCTTTGGTCCGCAGTCCTGCAGAGTCACAGGTCTGTGGACTGGGATCAGGTCTGGGTCTAACCATAGACTGGGATCAGGTCTGGGTCTGACCATAGACTGGGATCAGGTCTGGGTCTAACCAGTAGTCCTGGTCCTGGTCCTGGCCCACAGACCCTCAGGATATAAATTAGGGCTGTGCAATTAATCGTATTTTAATCGCAATTACGATTTTGGCCTGCCACAATTACGAAAACAACATAATCGAAAAAAACGATTATTTAGCTTTGCTTGGTTGTGACAGTGCACTGCAACATATTTGATCTATTTTATTTTAGTCTAATTTATTTGTATTTATCATATTTACATATGTTTAGTAGCTTGTTGAAGTGCGCTCCAAAATATTTGTTGATCTTGTTTATTGGTATTTATTATTTTGATATTATTTATTTAAATGTATCATTTATTTTAGTATTGGTTTTTCAGTTGAATTATACGTTCAGGGTAATCAACAGTTAAAAAGATACTGTTCAAATTATTATTTGTATTTGTTTTAAAGTTCAATAAATGGATGTTTTCAAAGTCAATGAATAATCGTATTTAATAATCGTGATATCAATTATTGACCCAAATAATCGTGATTATGATTTTTGCCATAATCGCATAGCCCTAATATAAATACTAGTGCCTCTTCTGATCTGAACACAGCAGTGAGCCCCAGAGGAGGTGCTGAGTCACTCGATGTATTTCAGTCTGCAGCATGACCCAGATCCTCTCTCAGACCTTCTGGAAGAATCTGATTAAAAATATCTCCGTATTTAAATATATAAATACATCCCTCCCTGATATGGTCTAAGACTCACTGGAGAGGGGACTGGGTCTCTGTAGTCCACTGGTTCCAGGACTCCCTCCCTGATATGGTCTAAAGACCCTGACACACCAGGCAGTCACCAGAGAACTCGCCGACGCCGACACCGACACCGACAGTTCCATCGACGAGTTCTCCTGCGTCTTGGCCATGTGTCGCACTGGAAATCACCGCAAAGACTTCAGCCGAGCACGTACGAACTGCGCATGCGTGAGTGGCAATAACTCTCCTTAACAGCAGGCGGCGGTAGTGTGTATTCGTCATTCAAAATAGGCAACAACCGGAAGACAGAGAAGAAGAACAGACTGATATAAACAAACAAATAGCGTGTGCGTTCCATTTTCACTCTCGTCCATCGAAAACATGTTTTAGAATATAAAAATACATGAATGATGAAATGAGCACATAAAGTGCAGACATACTATAAAATCACAGTTAATAGACCTGCATCTGATGATCGCAGTGTTCTGGCGGGTGTGTAGTTTATTGAGTCAGCAATGTAATAATGGCCACTTCTTGCTAAATTTACGATGAGATGAAAAACCGGACTTGACCAAACAAATCACGGAGCTCTCAGCAGAGGACAGCCGGGGACGCTCCCGCCGATATCAGAGATGTCCCTGCTATGTGTGGGAGGTAAGAGAGGACATTTAAGGGCTATGTTTGATGTCTTTTAAGTATCACCTGCTGGGGTTTAGCTGCTGTCCTGACTCCTGTGCCTTTTTTAATCGTTTGTTTACGTCCCTCACTTCCGTTTCGCTTCTCATTTGCTAGCTGAACAGCTGATCAGAGTGGTTTCTTGGCCCGATAGCTTGTGACTGTATTTTGGCCGATTCAACATGTTGAATCGGCCATGTGTCGACCGTGAAAGGCCAAATAAGGCGTGTCACGGCCGAGGGTTCGGGACACACCAAATTGACTTTGGGCGACAAGGAACGCGTTGTTGCCAGACAACCGAAGACGGCCGAATACGGCCTGGTGTGTCAGGGCCTTAAGACTCACTGGAGAGGGGACTGGATCTCTGTAGTCCACTGGTTCCAGGACTCCCTCCCTGATATGGTCTAAGACTCACTGGAGAGGGGACTGGGTCTCTGTAGTCCACTGGTTCCAGGACTCCCTCCCTGATATGGTCTAAGACTCACTGGAGAGGGAACTGGGTCTCTGTAGTCCACTGGTTCCAGGACTCCCTCCCTGATATGGTCTAAGACTCACTGGAGAGGGAACTGGGTCTCTGTAGTCCACTGGTTCCAGGACTCCCTCCCTGATGTGGTCTAAGACTCACTGGAGAGGGAACTGGGTCTCTGTAGTCCACTGGTTCCTGGACTCCCTCCATGATGTGGTCTAAGACTCACTGGAGAGGGGACTGGGTCTCTGTAGTCCACTGGTTCCAGGACTCCCTCCCTGATATGGTCTAAGACTCACTGGAGAGGGGACTGGGTCTCTGTAGTCCACTGGTTCCAGGACTCCCTCCCTGATGTGGTCTAAGACTCACTGGAGAGGGGACTGTGTCTCTGTAGTCCACTGGTTCCAGGACTCCCTCCCTGATGTGGTCTAAGACTCACTGGAGAGGGAACTGGGTCTCTGTAGTCCACTGGTTCCAGGACTCCCTCCCTGATGTGGTCTAAGACTCACTGGAGAGGGAACTGGGTCTCTGTAGTCCACTGGTTCCAGGACTCCCTCCCTGATGTGGTCTAAGACTCACTGGAGAGGGAACTGGGTCTCTGTAGTCCACTGGTTCCAGGACTCCCTCCCTGATGTGGTCTAAGACTCACTGGAGAGGGAACTGGGTCTCTGTAGTCCACTGGTTCCAGGACTCCCTCCATGATGTGGTCTAAGACTCACTGGAGAGGGGACTGGGTCTATGTAGTCCACTGGTTCCAGGACTCCCTCCCTGATGTGGTCTAAGACTCACTGGAGAGGGAACTGGGTCTCTGTAGTCCACTGGTTCCAGGACTCCCTCCCTGATGTGGTATAAGACTCACTGGAGAGGGGACTGTGTCTCTGTAGTCCACTGGTTCCAGGACTCCCTCCCTGATGTGGTCTAAGACTCACTGGAGAGGAAACTGGGTCTCTGTAGTCCACTGGTTCCAGGACTCCCTCCCTGATGTGGTCTAAGACTCACTGGAGAGGGGACTGGGTCTCTGTAGTCCACTGGTTCCAGGACTCCCTCCCTGATGTGGTCTAAGACTCACTGGAGAGGGAACTGGGTCTCTGTAGTCCACTGGTTCCAGGACTCCCTCCCTGATGTGGTCTAAGACTCACTGGAGAGGGAACTGGGTCTCTGTAGTCCACTGGTTCCAGGACTCCCTCCCTGATATGGTCTAAGACTCACTGGAGAGGGGACTGGGTCTCTGTAGTCCACTGGTTCCAAGACTCCCTCCCTGATGTGGTCTAATGGCGCATTTCCACTACACGGCCTCACTCGGCCTCGCTAGGTATGGCTAGGTCTCGTTAGGACTGGCTCACTTTATGGTGCATTTCCATTACAGTTTAGGAACTGGGGTAGTAACTATAGTAACGCAGTGTAGGCGGAGCTGTGACGTCATCTTCAATGAGAATCACAAAAACAACACAGCCGTTAGCTGTTAGCACTCAGAGCTCACAGCTCCTCATATCTGTTCAGAAACTAGACAAAAGTTAAACAAGTACAAACCACAGACTGCCTGTGTCATGGCGAATACAGTCGCTGGTTTATTTATGTCTGTAGGCCGTTGTTGTGAGTGTGGACGGTCGGAGCATATACTGCGTTAGCTTAGCCAATCTCCATTTAGACAACGCGCATTTCAAAAGGTTTTTCACCTGCCGTCTGTCTGCAGACTTGTCAAAGCATTAATTCATGGTTTTTACTAACCGGTATCAGTATGTTGTTACTTCGGCATCATTTTGAAACGTGTATTACAATTAAATCACGGTCAAATATGTTCATCTTGTTGTAGTTGTAGCCCCCTTGCCAGCGATTCTCTCTCTAGTTTAGCATACTCAGCCCGACTCAGCCTGGTTGTTCCTGGCCCTAGAACCACGATTTTATGGGGCCAGAAAAACTGTGAATTAGGACCCGCTAGCCGGTACTAGGCCAAGTGGAAACGCAACCAAAGACGGGCCGCTGACGTCACAGCTCTCTTAAACGGGGCTCCGCGCTGCAGTGGAAACGCACCATAAGACTCACTGGAGAGGGGACTGGGTCTCTGTAGTCCACTGGTTCCAGGACTCCCTCCCTGATGTGGTCTAAGACTCACTGGAGAGGGGACTGGATCTCTGTAGTCCACTGGTTCCAGGACATGTCTGATACCAGACTCTCACTGTGTCTGTAGATTCATCCTGTTAGCATTAGCATTAGCCTCATTTACATATTTAACATGCATGTCAGAACCCTGTAAGTATGCGAGTATCAGCTGACCTGACGCAGACTCCTTACTGATGAGATCTATTTAAATGATGTGGAATCAGTGAAAGCTCTGACAGGAGGAGTCTCACTGAGATTTACTCTCTGAATATTTCTCCTTTAAAATCCTCTTCTTCATGTCTCTTCTACATCAACATGTGTCCCCTCTTCTTCATGTCTCTTCTACATCAACATGTGTCCCCTCTTCTTCATGTCTCTTCTACATCAACATGTGTCCCCTCTTCTTCATGTCTCTTCTACATCAACATGTGTCCCCTCTTCTTCATGTCTCTTCTACATCAACATGTGTCCCCTCTGTGGAAAGAGACTCTGAAAGTTTCAGGAACAAAGATTCTCTCTCTTTTTGTCCTGATCCATTTCTATAAAAACTAGGGCTGTCAAGTTAACGCGTTAATAACGCGTTAACGCAATTTTTTTTTAACGCCACTAATTATTTTAACGCGATTAACGCATGTGTATTTTTTGTCCTCGGCCGCCCCGTAGTTTCAGAGCGCATCAAGTTTAAAATACCATCTACAAGCTGATGCTGACAGCCCCGCTCCTGCCGCCCGCTTGTGGCAGACCACACTTCCACGCTCACCGGCAAGCCCGGACTGGCCATCGGGAGGACCGGGAGGGTGTGTGTATGTGTGGCGCGAGCGAGGCACACCTTACGTGTTGTTGTTGTTGTTGGCATCTGGTGCTAGCTAGCTGCGCTAACGGATATAAGGAGCTGTTTCAATGAAAACAGAGGAGTGACATTTCGCCGACAACTGCGCCGAGCACTTGACTTTATGCAGACAGTGGGACATTGTAAGAAAAGTCAGCACACTCAGCACGGATAGTGCGCGCAACATGATTGCAGCGTCCAGGCAGCTCCCGTTCGAGCATATATGCCTTGAGCTGCACATAGCTCCAACGATCCATCAGTGTCTCCACACACACACACACACACACACACACACACACACACACACACACACACACACACACACACACACACACACACTTTGTATTGTATGAAAGAGGTTCCAGGTTGAATTGAGGCGAATATTTGTAATGTTCAGAGGTTGTTGTGTTTAATATTCATGAGAATATTTGTCATTGTTCAAATGATAATAAACAAACATATAAAGCATATTTGTCATTAAAGACTTGAAAAATATCCCTCTAAGGTACATTTAGAACAGATAAAAAATGTGCGATTAACTATTTTAATCGACTGACAGCCCTAATAAAAACCTGTCTGAAAATGAGCTGATCAGATTTTGGCCACTTGATGATGTCATAACGATGTCTTGTGTAACCATTAGCCAATCAGCAACCAAGGTAACCACCCCCCCCCCCCCCCCCCCCCTCCCCCCCTTATCATCTGAATCTCCTCCTAGAGCACCATTGAGTTCTTTTTAACCAAATCTCTCTCAGAGGGGCGTGGGGAGGGGCTCCATATTTTCATCTAAAGTAACAGACAGAGAATCAGCACTTTGGAAACAGGGCTGAAACAGAGGGGATTATGGGTAATGCTGCAATGATCTGTTTGGTGTTTCAGCCAATCAGAGACAGGCTCTGTATATATCTGAGACCTGTGATATATTGATGAAGAGGAGGATGATAGGAGACCTTTAAGAAAACTCAAACTGAAGTACGTTACTTTACATATTCTTTATGTTTGATAAATGTTTCTGTCAGTCTGAAGGGACAGCGCATAATAATAATAATAATGATGAGATCTCTGCATGTGTTTATCTGTAAACAGCTTGTTGTTGTTGAAGCTAGAGACTAAAAATAAATCAACAAGTTTTAAATAACCCGACAGCAGCGTCAGTCTTCAGGTTTCACAATGTCTGAAACTCTAACCCTCCTCTCGGAAACTCTATTTCAGACCCAGACCCCATTTAAACCCTCCTCCCCCTTCAGTCACACAGTGACATCACTATGGAACACTAGCGCTCCTATTGGCTAGAGCTCCACCACATCGTACGTGATCGTAGGATAAGGGGCGGGACTTCCCTAAGCTGGTTAACCAATCACAACAGAGCCGTCAAGCTCTCATGAAGAAATCATCTTTTACATGAGAGAAGATCAGAAGAACTTTATTGATCCCGATTTGTGAAATGTTTGCGTTGCAGCATAAAAGACACTAGACAACAACAATTACAAGACCAGAAGAAAACAATCCAAAATGTAAACATCTCTGACCCCTCTGACTCTGACCCCTCTGATTCTGACCCCTCTGACCCCTCTAACCCCTCTGACCCCGCTGACCTCTCTGACTCTGACCTCTCTGACTCAGACCCCTCTGACTCTAACCCCTCTGACCCCGCTGACTCTAACCCCTCTGACCCCTCTGACTCTAACCCCTCTGACCCCGCTGACCCTTCTGACCCCTTTGACTCTAATCCCTCTGACCCCGCTGACCCCTCTAACCCCTCTGACCCCTCTGACCCCCAGACCGACACCATGCAGAAGTCTAAGAGCGAGTACGAGTCCTTCGTCTTCTGGAGGGCGCTGCTGCCAGAGATCGACCTATCAGAGCTCTCGGATCTGAGCGGGGGGGCGGAGCCAGCCGGGAGCGTCGCCGGGAGCGTCGCCGGGAGCGTCGCCGGGAAGGAGAGGAAACAGGAAGTGAGGAAACGGGAAGAGGGAGTGAGGAAACAGGAAGAGGTAGTGAGGGGACTTTACGTTCTGCTCCTGGTTCTCTTTTATATCTGCTATTAACATTTAGAGAGGAGTACTGAGTACACAGAGTACTGAGAGTACACAGAGTACTGAGAGTACACAGAGTACTGAGTGTACTGAGTACACTGAGTACACTGAGTACACTGAGAGTACTGAGAGTACTGAGTACACAGAGTACTGAGAGTACACATAGTACACATAGTACACTCAGTACACTGAGTACACTGAGTACTCTGAGTGTAGAGGAGCTGTTTAAAGAACCTGCTTCATCCCTTTATTGTGGCGGGGTCTTTAGATAATAAGATAAACTTTATTGATCACAATCTTTGACATGTGATCACCACAGCAGCATCGATTAGACATTACACATGAAGGAGAAGTAAATACAAAGTGATATAAGAGCAGTAGAAGACAAACAAAATACACAAACAGTGAATATATACATATAGATAATGAAGGACATGAGGGTGTCTGACCTGTGCTTCATCCCTTTATTCTGGCGGGGTGTCTGACGTGTGCTTCATCCCTTTATTGTGGCGGGGCGTCTGACCTGTGCTTCATCCCTTTATTGTGGCGGGGTGTCTGACCTGTGCTTCATCCCTTTGTTGTGGCGGGGTATCTGACCTGTGCTTCATCCCTTTATTGTGGCGGGGTGTCTGACCTGTGCTTCCTGTCCGCAGGGCGAGATGAAGGAGTTTTCCTCCTTTACTTACTGGAGAGCTCCGATCGGAGACGTGGACTCGCTGCTGGCCGACCTGCTGCTCTGAGACAGGAAGTCACCACAATAAGAGCCTGCTCTCTGAAACAGGAAGTCACCACAATAAGAGCGTGGAGAAACCAGAGCCTGCTCCCTGATCCCAAATCATCAGATCTTATATTCCAGATTATCCGTCTCTCTTTGGGCTTCACTCACGATGATTATCCACCGCCTCACAACAAACTGAAGTCCTTTTCATAAAACCAGGCTCAACCAATCAGAACACTCGATTCAAACATGTGACAATATTACCAACAGTACAGTGTTTATTTAGTTAGTTAAAGATGTCTAAAATCCGACTGTACTGACCCTCAACATATCAGAAACACTGATTCACGTTTAGACTAAATCAGTGAGGAGAGAGCGACTGCGTTCACACACGTGTTTAGCATCCTGCTTCTGATCTGGATCTATAGTCACATCGCTCCTGACCACCTGTGAACGTGGAGTCTCTCGGTTGTTAAAATGATGTAGGCCTACTGCAGTAAAGGTATATTTAATCTGCGGTCTAAGGAGAGGCATGTATTCTGAATGTAAACATGATAATACTTCCTTTAAGTTCTTGCATTATTCCCCTGATATCTACAGAGCCAGAATACATCCCATCACCTGATCAATACATCCCATCATCTGATCAATACATCATCACCTGATCAATACATCCCATCACCTGATCAATACATCCCATCACCTGATCAATACATCATCACCTGATCAACACATCCCATCACCTGATCAATACATCCCATCACCTAATCAATACATCCCATCACCTGATCAATACTGATTATAGCGTGCACGTAGAGGCAGTGCGGGACGAGGACATGTTATTCGGAGGTGATGCGTTCAAAGCCCCTGAGATTTAACAGTTTCTTTCTGTTTCCATTTGTGCCTTGTTTATTGATTTAACCCCGAGCTGCTTTGCTGTCACTGATCGGCTGATTATTATTATTTATTATTTATTGATGTATTTATTGATGTTTCTGAGCGGGCCTCACTTCTGGTCAGAATGTAAAACCCTGCCACCAATAAAGAAAATAAAATCTCCATTTTTCAATCAGAACGACTTATTTTTATTGATCTTTCACTGGAAACCACGAGGGGACGTCTCTGACGGTTTATTTGGAGCTTCGGCCGGAGAATTCACACGACATGTCACGGGCCACGGTCTGACCACACGGCTGAGATGCCACCATCAATTCTGAAGACCCCTCCTGTAGCTCCAGGTTTGAACTCAGAGTGTAATAATCAACATTCTTCAATAGATAGACTAAACAGCTGAGGACACTGAATCACATTTGTTGTCTCTTATGGCTCGAGGTCATCTACACCCCGAGAAGGAAGTGTTCCAGGTGTCCCACAACAATAACTATCTCTGAGCGAGAGCTGCCCGGTCACAAACTGGCAACAACAACAACTTGCGAGGGCAGCCCCTCCTTAAGGGAGACAGCGGCTGGTTGGTCATCTGCGTCAGAGGGTCAAAGGTCAACATGCAGAATGATTCCCTGACAGGAGAGGATGCTCCCCCGGGAAGATTTTTTTTTAAATATTGAAGTTAAATGCATCAATCTGGTGCACTTTGAGAGCAAAATTAAGAGATCTATGGACACCTCTCAACACCTATATGAAGCAGAACTGTAAACAGATTTACTTTTTCTTTATGGATATTTTACAAATCACTCCCCTTTTAAACTCTATTGTTTTACTGCCATATAGTATTTCATAACTGTTTTTCCTTTATTCTCTTATTTTTTTTATAACTATAATGATCATATGAAGGTGTGCCGTGGAAATAATCTTTTGAATAATTTGTGACCAAACCGTTTGAGACCCACTGAGATAACTTAGGTCCCCTTTAACTTTAGTCTATCATGCAAAATGCACTTTTGTACGTCTTTTATACATGAATATGTGTTCCCGGTGTTCCAGGGAACTCACCAAGTGTCAGAAAACACAACCCTCTCTATTTTCCTCCATACCCAAATCTCTAAAAAAGGGGCTGCAACGGATCTGATAAAAACTGATCCAGATTTGAACACTGTCCTGACGTCAGGACAGTGGCACTACGGCTATTGGGCCAACTCCACCAATCAGGAGGAGACAGCCACGGCCATTGCCGTTCGAAAGCGCTGGAGACATTGTAGTACATATGCCAGGCCAGTAGATGGTGCTGTTCTCACAGAATCAGCCCTTGCAAACACAGAGCTAAAAAATGTCAAATTGAGCAAAATGAGGCATGGCTAAAATGCATGATCTGTTTGGTATTTTGCAAAAAAAAAAGTATAAATATGCCTTATATAGGTATGGTCCTACACTATATTATTCAAATATAGCATGATAGGTCCACTTTAAGTATCTAAACACTCAGAGAGTCCTTTAGCTCACCTGAGTCTCTCAGTCTGAGAGGAGGACTCTCCTCCAGCTTGTTGTGGAACAAACAGCTCCTTATGTCCGTTAGTGCAGCTAGCTAACCAGATGCTAACAACACGGTCCCTGCTGGCACCGGTCCCTACCTCCCCCTCTCTCCCTCTCTCTCTATCGCACTAAATGCGCTATTGCCACACACATACAGAGCCGAGCTTGAATGACACAAGCACACGCTTATTTCCATGCAACTCTCTGATTGGTCTGGTGTCATGCCTCTGTTGCATTCACTGAACACGGGAAATTACAGTGCTGCCGTCCTCTCGTGTCATGATGAGGTTCACGTAAAGCACGGTTAATGTATTATATTATTGAGGGAGAATTGTCCGGGGCTACAGAAAAAACATTCGGGGCTAAAGCCCCGGGTGCCCAGGCCAGGCGACGCCACTGAATTTGGTCATCGATTTTAATCGATTAAGTCGATTAGTTGTTGCACCCCTACAGCAGCTGATGGACTGCTTAGCAGAGATCAAATCCTGGCTGAGCCAAAACTTCCTCAACCTCAACGAGAGCAAGACCGAGGTCATCTTTTTTGGACCCCAACCTCCAGCCTCTCCGGTTGATAATCTGGGCTCTCAATAAAAACATCCTCCATGAACCTTGGAGTGACCTTCACTAGCACTTTTAAATTCGACAAGCAGGTCAGCACCGTAGTCAAATCCTGCTTTTCTAAAATACGACTATTGGCCAAAACCAAGTCGTATTTATCTTTTAAAGACTTAGAAAGGGTTATTAACGCCTTTGTTACCTCGAGACTGGATTACTGCAACGCTCTGTATGTGGGTATGGACCAGGCCTCAATTAAACGCCTGCAGCTAGTTCAGAACGCAGCTGCACGTCTTCTCACTGGCCATAAAAAGCGTGACCACATCACCCCAATTCTGGCCTCACTGCACTGGCTTCCAGTTCGGTTCAGAATTGATTTTAAAATCCTTTTATTTGTTTTTAAAGCACTAAATGGGCTGGCTCCGGCCTATATAGCTGAACTCCTCCAGCGCTACACCCCAGCCAGAGCTTTAAGGTCTGCTGACCAGCTGCTGCTAGTAGTGCCCAAGACCAGGCTCAAAACCCGAGGGCACCGAGCCTTCGCAGCAGCTGGCCCCAGGCTCTGGAACACTCTGCCCCTCCATGTGAGGTCGGCCCAGACCCTAGGGGGTTTTAAATCCTCACTAAAAACCATAGACTGTATATATAAATGGACGTAGGGTCCGTGACGTCACCCATAGGATTCTGCAGAGTTGCCGAGAAGCCCTTAGTAGGCGGAGTCGGCCACTAACGGCTCGACAGTGACGTCAGAGTCTAACTCCCGCCTGCTCCAAATAAGGGCAAAGAGGCGGAGCCGAGGCAGGACCTGCTGCCTCCGAGCTGGAAGTAACAGAGCTAGCTCAAGCTAAGAAGCTAAGCTAACATGCTCCCCATCTGCACACTGCCGTCACATTTTACGTTTCTAAGGTAAGCGGACATGAAACTATTCAGCAAAACTATAAATAATAATTAAGTTATTGAGTTTTTAGCATAATACTTCAGAATCTTAAAATCCCTTAAAGCTCCCATGTCATGCTTTTCCGGTTATTACCCGTCCCCTTGTGTGTTATGAAGGTTTTTATGCATGTAAACGGTGTGCAGAGTCAAAACCCTCAAAGTACACCCTGTAGCGAGTAAAACTCTAACACAGAAAATACCTCCCCAAAACGCCTCGTTGGAGATACGTCACTGCCCATTTGATTCTTCCGGGTACCGCATGATGTCATGCGGTACCCGGAACGAAATGGACCAATCCCGAAGAGCTATGGCCACACCAGCAGCGGCGTGTTCCTCCTCCAGAGGTTCGAAGAACCGGCATTTCACAGACGAAAGCTTCCAAAACATTGCCCAGTTTGAGGCCGGATATGCACAGCTTGTTTGGACCGTTTGGAGCAGGGGAAGATCTGGGTATACAACCTGTAAGTTTGCATTGTTATTTGTGTATTTATCAAACAAGACTGTTTAAATGTGTAAACTGTGTTGGACTGCTAAGCCATTGACACAGTGCTAACTGTGCTAACTAAGTTGCTAGAGTTTCCATATATCAACTCTAATATCAGCAGATGGCCTTGCATACATGTATCTCATAGCAGGAGAATGTCTGCATTCACACACAAAATACCTATTGACAGTATACTGCGGGTGATTTGCCGGTCAGTCGCGAAACGTAATTACATTATAGCTGGCGTAGCGATCTAACACACGGAGCTAGAGCTAGTTTTGGTCAGAAAAACATTTGTGTGATGCTACGTTGCTAGCGTTTAAATATATCAACTACAATGTCAGCAGATGGCCTTACATGTTTGTCATGGCAGGAGAATGTCTGCAGTCACACACACGGAATACTCATACAGTATACTCCGGTTTACCGTACATTGTGACCGTACATATACTGCATGTAGCTAACGAGGCTAGCTGTATGCTAGCGCAAAACAATGTATTCATGCAAGTTACATTGTATGGTAGCAGAATACCCGTATACGATTGCAATTATAAACACGTTATTGCTAGCCTAATATGAACCACTAGCTTTTGTTCATAGTAGTTTTATTACACTGCATTATAGTTGCCTTTCCTCCAAGCTAACGTTCATATCGTGTTAGCTACCAAGGTAAACAAAGCTAGGTTAGCATATTAGCAGGCAAGCTGTTCATTACACAACTACTACTAACGAATCTAAAACAACTAAGTTTCTCTAATATTTTGTGATTTGCATTTGATTTCGTCCAGCCAGATCCTGGCGGACAATCCATGACGGGGAAGGGATTCTACTACTACTGAGGCCTCGTGCTAAAAGGCACCGCACCGCACCGGCTGTGCGCAGGCAAGAGGAGGAGGAATGGATGATATACCGTGTATATATGTATATTTATGTTCATTTTGTACATTTCTAAAAATAAAGTTTAATGGAAATACTTAGTAGGCCTATCCTTTCTTCCCTGAATTCATATATAGCAAACCATGATTTGATTTCTCATCAAACAGTAGTAGTTTATAACGGGTAAAAATAACTTACTCTTTGTTATGAGAGTAGCTCGTAGGCCACAACGGAAAGACAAGGAGACATACACGAGTTTACAAAACCACGGCACATTTATTGTGGTAAATGCAGAGACAGGTGGTTGAGAGGATCGCAGAGTTAGTCTTCCTGCAGCCGCTTTGGAGAGAGACTGGGGCCGTAGTGTCCGGAGGTGTCCGTGATCGTGCTGATTAGCCTCTTCAGCTCCACCCCATCGTAAGACAAAGGCCCTGGGGCCGTCACACTCTTCTATAACAACAGTTAAAAATATATATGTATATAAAATATACCGCTGTACCGACGCCATGATAAGACTGATGTTACGCTGAGAGCAGCCGGGAAAAGCACTGACATGGGTGCAGCCTCTCTGGTGGTTGACTAATCAGAACGAGTGGCCGAGCTGACCAATCGGAGCACACTAGGCTCACAGGGAGGGGGGGGCAAGAGCTCCAACGAGTCGTTTAGTGGAGAAAGTGAATACTGCTGAATACACATGCTTGACAGAGATGCTGTATGCGAAACCAATGTGAGTTTGGAAAATTGCACAGTATAAATCTATTTTAGTATACCTCAACAATGTAATTATGATCAGTGGAAATGGCCATGACATGGGCCCTTTAACGTTTGAATGCAATGTGCTAAATGCAACACTGGAATCAAGCAAATTATTAATATGTTTGCATGACATTAGTTATTTATATTTTGCTATCACTTAATTATACGTTTAATACATTTAAGTCAAGCTAAGGTACATGTGATGGTAGCTAGTTAGTGCTCTTACCTGTGAGGCTTCCTCCAAACAGCATTATAAACAGACTGTACCATTAAAACTATAAGTACCAGTTCTAGATCCTTGACTTTAGACAAACAATTCAAAAGACAAAATGTATTTAAAGACCAATCTTTATTTGAATGTGCCTCTTAACCTGAGATATTAGTTATACAGTAATAGTATTGACAATCTAAAAAAACTGAGCAACTCAACAGTCAACTTTATATTTCTTATTGTCTAAAGCATTTATTATTTTCATTTTTCCCCTCTCATATTCAGTGTGGAGTGTGGACGGATTGAGACAGCGTGGTGTCCAGAGAGCTGCAGAGACTTCAGGGAGAAACCTCCGTGTGATGGACGTCCTGTCTGTTGGTTTGGCCGGAGAGGACTGAGGGTCTTTCCTCAGCGAGGAGGACCAGGCCTGATGGAGGAGCCCATGCTGGGCATAGCTGATACCAACTGCACAGGCCTAGTCTGTCACTTTATTTGACTAAATGTGTTTACTTATACATTGAATAGGTTTACACCTTCTGTCCATATGTGCTTTTTTATTTAAAACATGTTTGATTAACTTTTGGTTCACATTTCAATAAATTGAATTTGTATTTGCACTCCTTTTGTCCATTATTCTTACTGAAAATGTTAGATTACACATTCACATCTGACTGAAGATTGGCCCCATTTATTTGTGACGTTTTAAACTCTGCGGTACAAGGTACATGTTGTGAAGCTCATAAAGTGAGGCAAATAGAATTAATCAGCTGATGGAGTGTAGATGTGGAAATAGGTGCATTCGATCAGCTGACTTCACAATAAAAGTAGTTTCTTAGTGAATGTCCTGTACTGGTCTTAAAATCTCATAACATCAGCTTTTAATTGGGCATTTTAACATGGGGTCTATGGAAATTGCTCCTTTCTGCAGTCAGCGCCTATCGGCCAATATATGAACTGCGGTTTGTGGCACTTCCGTATTGGCGTCCCGGCTCTTCCCCAGAGTTTGCCGCTTGCTAAAAACTCACTTCTTCTCCCTGGCCTTCTAGTCAGAGCGGAGCACGACACCTGACTATTCCTTGTGTTTTTGTTTTTTATATTTGCTGTTGTAATTTATTGTCTTCTGTTTTGCGATTGTAGTAATGTGTTATTTATTATTTGCATGTAGGCCTACAGCACTTTGGCTCGACCAAAAATCGTTTTAAGATGTGCTATATAAATAAAACCTGATTTGATTTGATATAAATAAAATAAAACCTGAGGAGAGAGGAGTCGAGGAGGGGAATTCGAGAAATGAGAAAGGGCCATAGCAGGAAGGTCAGAAATATAAGGGTTATAAGAAACTTTTTAGCACTACTCCAAGAATAATAAAAAGACATACCATATCACATGTAAATATAAATGTGAATAAACACAATGACCTACAAAGATAAGAAAGTAAAGATAATGAATTTAAGACAATATTTGACAAACTTATATTTTAAAATGAAACGCTGAGCAGACGTTAGTTTAATACACCAGTTTATTAAGTGACCCGCAGATCTGACCTGAGGTCAGTTTGCTCTGCTGCGGATTTCCCGCCTCCACCAGGACTCTCCCGCTCAGACTGACCTGAGATCTGCTGTTACCGCCCTCTCTGTTCCCGCCCTCACGAGGTTCACTTCCTGCTCCGGTGCATCCGCCATATTTGTTACAGATACAAAAATAACAGTTTTAAATAAATCAGTTTGTATTAAAGGTGTATCTGCAGGTGAGCTAGCTGTCGGGTCAGAATCACATCAGGCGACTTAACATCAAGGGATTCTACGAGAGGAGAAGGTAAAACTCGCTTTATTTAATGTGCTAACAGGCTAACGGCTAACAGTAGTTGTAAACACCACCGCACTTCTGGTCTGGACTTTCAACTTAAAATAGGGACTCACGAGATGGGCCGCAGCTGAGAAAATAACAGATAATGCTTTTGAATAAGATGTGTCCAAATGATTCCTTATTTCTGTATCTCGTGTGCATACCTTTTATCTAATAGTGTCTATATTTTGTGCGAACAATAAAGGAATTCAGATTCTCCTGAAACCACTGTAAACAAAATACACTTCATACGCTCTTATTTTGAATCCACTTCCACAACATCCGGCTGTGTTCTGTCGGCTCGGTAACTTTCCCTGAGAAACAACACGGAGCTCCGGAGGATCCGAGGCTCCTTAATGTTCCCTTTATCCCCTTTACTATTTGTACCCTCTTTATTCTCTGTATTCCCTTTACTCGCCGTATCCGTTAACCCCACAACAACAGACCTGTTTGTTCCGCGGAGGGATACAGACCGCTTCACAGCCTCGGAGGGATTCGTTCTGTTAGCATTATCTTAGCAGAGAGCAGTAGCCCGAAGAGAAGCCGCGGTGAGTAAACAATATACACTCTTATCTTCATGTTTAACCTGTTTAAAGATAATTATATATTAGTATTAAAAGTTTATTAAGAGCCATAACCCCCTGTACTCGGTCCGCCTGCAGAAACTAACCGGATGTGGAAGTAGTTTTTTCTCGGTGTTAAAATAGGACATTTGTGAGAGACTTCCCCCGGAAAACCAACAACTTAATATCAAACAGTTTCCTGTGTGTCGGGGCAGTGAATGTTTGGGACGGTTTTTACCGGTGTTTGTGGTGAATAACAGCCCGGGGAGAGGGGCCACATGGCGGACTCTTTCTGCCCGTGGAGGCGCGTAAAATGGCTCCTCGGCCGCGGAGAAAGAATCCTCGTCTCTGTCCGTTAACTCTCCATCAGAACGCTGTGTAGCGCTGAGGGGCCCATTATCGGACAGGCAGCATCAGGCTAACTCAGCTAGCATTGGGCTCTTCTCCCAGTTAATAAAACCATTGTTTCCAGTTTAAACACAAACTAACATTAATGTAGAGATCATTAATGTAGGCAGCATGGAGATTACCTATGAAGCTAAAGCACGTGTTCTACACCGTGGAGATGCTCTGGTTGCATGTGAACGTACACAGTGTTAGCATCATAATACATTTGAAGTCGTCTGTATTTTTAATTACGTATTAGTATTTAAACTTATTGTATGTTTTGTGAGCCGAGTGATTTATTTATTTGTTTTATTTATTATTTCTCTGTACAGCTCTTTGTATTTTGTTCAGGAGGTTTTAAAGTGCTGTACAGATAAAGCTGTATTAGTGGTACTAAAGCACAAATACCACATGGTGAACATGCTAATACCACAAATAAAAGTACTGCATTGAATAAAGTACTTTTATTAACATCAATGCTCTCCGGTCTTTACAAAGCGGAAATATAAATTAAAAATAATTAGTAAAAAATTAAGTAAAAATAGAAAGAGGAATAAATAAGTAAAAATCAAATGTGTGAATATAATGATAAAGAAATAAAATACTAGAAATATAAAGAGCAATAAATAAAACAATAATTTGTTGATTTTATTTGATATTTTCTGAATCTGCAGAGAACCTAGAGTAATCAAATGAAGGCGTAGCAGCACGAGTATAGGATGAGTACATTAAACAGTATTATAAAAGTGTGTGTGTGTGTGTCAGATGTCTCTGGTGGACCTGGGGAAGCGTCTGCTGGAAGCGGCTCGTAAAGGTCAGGACGATGAGGTCAGGAACCTGATGGCCAACGGAGCGCCGTTCACCACCGACTGGGTGAGAATACCGTCTGTTCAACGTTACCACTAATGTTAGAAACATCTCCCTGGTCCCCGGCTTGATCTTCAATCTCAGGATCCATGTATTTGTGATCCTCTCCAAAATGGAAGTAGTCATCACATACAGAGCATCAACTAGTTCCTGAACAGTGTCCTTCACATGCTGATATCCAAGAGAGGGAGTTACACAGTCACAAGATGGAGGAATAGAAAGCAGTATTCAATGTTTACTTCAGATTAGCTCCACGTCAGAAATGATCATGCTTGTCATAGGTCTATCTCCATAGAGGCTGAATCATCATGTTAATCACATAGCTATCATATGCCTCAAACAGTCCTTGTGTGTGTGTGTGTGTGTCCTGTAGCTGGGCACGTCTCCTCTCCACCTGGCTGCTCAGCACGGTCATTACTCCACAGCTGATGTTCTTCTGAGAGCCGGCGTCAGCAGAGACGCTCGGACCAAAGTGGACCGGACGCCGCTGCACATGGCGGCGTCCGAGGGTCACGCTGTGATCGTGGAGCTGCTGGTCCGGGTGAGAAGAGCTTACTTTACTCTCTGGGGGTTAAAGGGCTCCTATTATACTATTTTAGGCATATATTATAGCTCTCAGATATAAAACATGTCTCTGAAGTGTCCTGCTCCAAACCACAAACAGATCCTTGTAGCCCCCCCCCCCCCCCCCCCCCTCTCTCTTCCAGCTGTCACTATAGACATGACTCTTACCCCTTTCACACCAAGGCTTTTCCCCTTCTAGCTCCGTGCTAGAGCTTTTCTGGTTCAGAACCGGTTCTTCGGTTTAGCGCCGGCTCTTTTCACACCGCTCAGAGCCCGACTGGTGCTGCCGCTGCTGCGTCATGACGTCACAGTTTACGTCGCTGAGTTTCTCCCCAACGGAGCTCACCTCACAACAACAACGGGCCGGGGACTGCGTTGCTTTTAATCATACGAAGCCAGATTAAATTAAATAACGACTTCTCCAACCTTATACTTTTCTCCAGAGTACCGTGGTTCATTGTTTATTAATGTGTTTCAGCGGCATTTACCGACCGCTGCAGTGCTGACTGCTCTTCAACGGGAGGGTATTCTCCCGTTAGCTCCGGGTTAGCTCACACGGCTCTAAAGTATTCACTGTCTGACTGTCACACAAGCAGCTGATACATATCCCCAGTTCCCCTTAAGTGAATGTGTGTCAGTCTGAATTGACGCTGTTTGGTGTCAGTCTGAATTGACGCTGTTTGGCATCACAACGCTGTTATGAAAGTTTCTCTGGTATAACATGGGTGATGTTAGCATAGCAACCGAAGCTAAACTGACTACTTGCTAAGCCGTTTTATACAGGCACTTTTTACCGACGTATTTTTCATTATGATTCTACTTGTGATAGTTGGACATGACAACCTGTGCAGCCCATGTATTGATTCCATCCGATAGCTGCTATAATAACAAACAAAACGTCTGCCTGCTCTCCACAATGATCAATAACAGCGAACGGATGGTCAAAGTAAGGTACAAATAAACAGAATCACACGAAGCCTGGTTAGTGTTGCCTGACTTTATAAAGCGTGTTTTTTTTTTACAAGTGTGTGGTTGCGTTCTAGTCACTTTGCTCAGCACTACTGCTGGTTACAACTTTTATTTGCCGTACTCGCCTTAACTGTTATCTCAGGTTAATCTCGCCCCCCTCCGACGTAAGCGGTTCTTGCTTCTACACGGACAACTTTTTGGTGCTCGAAACGAACCGGATTCCGGAGCTTAGAGGCTGCTCCGCTGCGGTGTGAACAGGAAAACCCGGTGTTTTTCAAGCACCAGCACCGAACCGGCCCCGAAACACTGTTGGTGTGAATGGGGTATCTGAGTCAGTAGCTTTAAAGAGAGATCATAATCATAATTGTGTTAACATGTCACAGAAATGTTAAGGTTAATGTCCTGACCTTAAAGTCAGAGCGATATTTATCTCATTTGTTTTATATCAATTTGATCAAGACATGTTTCCACAGCAGGTTAAATGTAATAAAGGACATGTCAGCATTTTCATTCTTAAATGGCTTGAATCTTACCTTTAACAACACAGAACAAGCTTTTGAAATGTGGCTAGTTCTGTCACATATTAGCCTGGCCCATGGACATGTTGTCATGGGAACTCAAAGTCACATGACCTGGCCCAGGACCCAGACTGTTCAGGGTCACTCAGGGTGAGGACAAAAGGACGTTTTTGCGGGACATGTTACTGCGTTGCTAAGAGCTACTTTAGATTCATATATATTTTGCTTTCAGGAGGAATATATCCATAGATCGATGTTCTCTTTGAGCCAGGTGTTTCTCGTGAGTTTCGCTTCAAAACAGATTCACCAATAAAAAATACATTCTGGCAAATCTGACAATAACTCTGTGAGTCGCCCTCCAGCGGCTGCACCCATACGTGAATACATGTCTCTGCTGATTGACCTCTGACACAGATAATGGTGGTGATAGCTCTCTTTTCTACACCTTTGGATAAAAGCCTTGTTTAAGACGGGCGGCTGTCAATCAAATGCGGGACATCGGCTAAATGTGTGAGACAGATGATCAAAATGCTGTGCAGTCCCTCACAAGGCGGGACACCTGGACGCCCTGGTGTCCCTCACAAAGCGGGACACCTGGACGCCCTGGTGTCCCTCACAAAGCGGGACACCAGGGCGTCCAGGTGTCCCTCACAAAGCTGGACGCCCTGGTCCCTCAGGGACACCATGAGATGGAATAAAGGCTAAAGCTGTATAAGGAACTTTCCAGAACATTGAATCAGAATCAGAATACCTTTATTAGTCCCACAGAGCGGACATTTGCATCGTTACAGCAGGAAAGAGCCACAGACAGCTTAATGTTACCTATGTTAAAAAAAGTACTAAGTTATGATATAATAAAAATATAATAAAAAAAACAACAAAGTTACATACTTTTCAAAATACAAATCCTGTAACAGTTCTTAGGATTTAGCAGCCAGGTATAAATTACACAGTTATTAATGGCATATGTATATAATGTATATATTGCACATAGTTTGATGGTATTTAACTGCAGCAAGTTACACAATTTACAAAATGCAAAATACACACCGTGTAACGGTTCTAAGGATTTAGCAGCCAGGTATAAATTACACAGTTATTAACGGCATATATATATATTGCACATATTGCACATAGTTGATTGGTATTTAGCAGCAAGGGGTGATATAGTCTGTGTTGTGGTGTGTGTAGGGGAGGGGGGGGGGGGTCTACTAGGGGCTGTGCTGGTTGTATAGTCTGACCGCTGCAGGAAGGAATGTCCTGTCTTTGTCACCGTGGGTTCTTCTGGGTTAACATGAGTCAGCATGTTGAATCTCTGTGTGAGTCCTCTCAGGGTCTCCTCCTCAGAGCGGAGCAGACATCAGTGCTAAAGACAGGCTGAAGATGTGAGGGTCTCTTTTCTGATGGTTCAGTTTGTTCCCCCTCCTCAGAGCGGAGCAGACATCAATGCCAAAGACATGCTGAAGATGACGGCTCTGCACTGGGCGGCGCAGCACGGACACCACGCTGTTGCCGAGACGCTCATCAAACACGGAGCCGACGTGCACACGCTCAGCAAGTTCGACAAGACGCCCTTCGACATCTCAGTGGATATTCAGAACACAGAGCTGATGCTGCTGCTGCAGGTGAGACCCGACCTCTGACCTCTGATCGTTTCTCACACCCAAGGCAGGTCAACATTCAAAGGTTGATCATCAGATGCTCAGCAGCTACAGTGTAGAGATGTCAATGAAACTCTGCTGACCTGAGCGCCTCCTACCACACTATGGCTCTGTCCAGATGACGACAAAAGCCTTCAATACTGTTCCCACTGTGTGTGTGTGTGTGTGTGTTTAGGAGGGCATGCAGAACCAGGTGAACATGAACCAGGTGACGTTGAACGTGGATACGAGCGGGAACAGCAACCAGCCTCAGTTCATCATCCAGGGCATGCAGGGGGGGGTGGTGAACCTGGCAGAGCTGCTCAACAAGGCCAACCACGGTAACACACACACACAACAGATAAAACACACATAAATACACCATAACCAAACACAGCCGGTAAACCCACACACTGAAACACTCTAATGATGGGGGGGGGGTGTGTGTGTGTGTTCAGGAGACTCGGAGGAGGCGATGGCTGCCAACGCTCTGGACTCCAACATCCAGCATGCAACAGTGGTGAACGAGGGGGGGCAGAGGGTCATCACCATAGTGACGGATCAGCACGGCAACCTGCAGACCACGGGGGGGATGGCTCCCCCCTTCTTCGTCACCATGCAGCACGGCCAGCAGAGTAAGAGACATCTTCATTATCATCATCGTGTGTGTGCGATATCTTTATCATCATTAATGTGTGTGTGAGACATCTTCATCATTAATGTGTGTGTGTGAGACATCTTCATCGTGTGTGTGTGCGAGACATCTTCATCGTGTGTGTTTAATGTGTGAGTGTGAGAGACATCATCTTCCTCATCATCGTGTGTGTGTGTAGGTATTTAATGTGTGTGTAGGTGTTTAATGTGTGTGTAGGTATTTAATGTGTGTGTAGGTATTTAATGTGTGTGTGTGTTTCAGTGCTGGCGGTGCCTGCTAACACGGTGACGGAGGAGGTTGTGACGGAGGAGTCTCAGCCCCCCCCCTCCAGGAAGAGGAAGATGGAGACGACGAACAACAACCACGATGGAGGAGAGACGGTGAGACACACACACACACACACACACACACACACACACTTTGGGTTCTCTTCAGGGCGCTGAGGAACGTCTGAACTTCTTCAGGCAGTGGTTTTTAAATGTGACCTTTTAGCGGCGCTGTTGCATGGAGGACAGACTGACGATGAACCCGGACTGTAGTAAAGACCTCTCTGGGCTGTGATTGGCTGTTTCTTGTCACATGGCAAACAGTTGGAAATATTAACAGAAATGTATAAAAGTGTAAATATAAAGAGGAATAAATAAGATCCATCATGTATTTAAAGTGTGAGATCTATCATGTATTTAAAGTGTGTTAATGGATGCCTCTCTCCTCCAGGAGCACCTCCAGAGGCAGCTGCTGGAGGCCAACAGGAAGGCGCAGGAGTACCGCACGCAGCTGCTTCGCAAAGAGCAGGAAGCAGAGGAGTACCGCGTCAAGCTGGAGGCCATGTCTCAGAACCACCCTCACAACAACAACAACAACAACAACCACCACAGTGAGGAGGTGGTGGGAGGAGAGGAGGACGAGGAGGAGGGAGGAGGCGTGGTGGAGGAGGAGGGGGAGGGGGAGATGGTGGTGCTGCAGGAGGGAGGCATCATCATGGAGGGGGAGGAGGGTCAGGTGACGCTGGTGGAGACGGGAGGAGAGGCCACGGAGGTTAGTTCATAACAGAGAGGAGGAGAGAGGAGGTGCCATTCTGGATCCCTAAACGGAGAGGAGGCACAAAATGGCTGCTGCCGACTTTTCAAACAAGACGGAGGAAGTCATTTTGGATCCCTGTGAGATTCAGAGAGGGAGACACGATGGGGACGCAATGGGGACACGATGGGGACGCGATGGGGACACGATGGAGACACGATGGGGAAGGACTGATGGAGGAAATCAATGAAAGATCAGACGAGTCAATCAAGCAGAGGGGTTTGATCGTGTGCCATTTGGATCCCTGAAGTCTTAATCAGGAACAAAGCGTTAGACAGAGCGACTGATAAAGGATTTAAGTAACATTTAGGAGAGTTCTGCTCCATTCTGGATCCCCGAGAGGAGGCACACGATGGCTGCTGCCTCAGAACAAAGAGACCATGAAAGACTTTTCAAACAAGACGGGGTCATTTAGGATCCCTGTGAGATTCCCTGCCTACAGAGAGGCAGACATGATGGAGGGGGTGTGTGCCATCTGGGATCCCTTCAAAGATCATACGAGTCAATCAGGCGCTGTTTGGATGCCTGAAGTATTGAACAGCAACACAGCGAGAGACGGAGCGACCGATAAAGGATTTAACGAACATTTAGCCTCCCTGAGAGATGTCAGGACGATGCTTCAGGAAGGGAACTACAATGGCTCGGAGGAGGAGCACGGACTTCAGGAGTCTCCTCTTGTTTGTCTCCATGCCTCCTGAAAGGGATGCAAAGCGGCTCGTGGAGATGGAGACTCACGGAGGAGGAAGAGAGAGATGTTGTTTTAGTTATAACCACAGTCAGTGATCACAAGTCATTAAAGCAGCAGGAGATCTGGACCCTGAACGCACCATTTTGCTTCATGCCAACGTGTATAAGGGAAACGCGCACGCTGCCCATGATCCCTTTCTTGAATCCATTCAAACCAGTCCCCCCACACGATTCCCTTTGCTCTTCGGTCCGGATCAATCCTCTCTAACCTCTCTAAAGTGACCTCCCTGAACGAGGCGGACGAGAGAACCAGACGTCTCCTCGGACACTAAGACACTCTGAACTGCTTTCATACTTTTTATTTCTTTTAGTTTTTGTTGTTTATAATCATTCTGTTTTGTTCGGATGCGACGTCTCGTACGCTTTCTTTGAGACGTCTCGTGCGCTCTCTTTGAGACGTCTCGTGCGCTCTCTTTGAGACGTCTCGTGCGCTCTCTTTGAGACGTCTCGTGCGCTCTCTTTGAGACGTCTCGTGCGCTCTCTTTGAGACGTCTCGTGCGCTCTCTCTGAGACGTCTCGTGCGCTCTCTCTGACACGTCTCGTGCGCTCTCTCTGAGACGTCTCGTGCGCTCTCTCTGAGACGTCTCGTGCGCTCTCTCTGAGACGTCTCGTGCGCTCTCTCTGACACGTCTCGTGCGCTCTCTTTGAGACGTCCTGAGAAAGTTCCCTTTGTTTGTGCAGCGTCTGACTTCAGATCCATCATGCAGACTTCTGATCAGTAATTATGGTTTCATTTTAAATCCTCAGATATGTAATGATTTCAGAGACTCTTAGTTTAGAGATATCTCCCGTCTTTAAGCAGCTCACAGACTAGTGCCTGGAAGCCGCCTCGCTTCGGGGTCTGGATTCAAACAAGGGATGAAAGATGAGTAAAGAGGAATATGGATTAGCTTTAATGTCTTGAAATGTCCCAAACTCAATTACAGACACATCAAACACATCAAGTTCATTCAAACATTCAAACTAGTTTAAATGAAGTCATAACATATTCAAGTTCCAGTTACCCATCATCAGCTGAAGGTCGTCTGCTCAGTTTTTAGATGATTTGCGTGTTTTTATCCCTTTAATGACATTCCTATAATTCAGTCCCAGCAGAACATTGGTGTTTCAGAATAATAAATACACGAGGAACAAATCCATTAAACCAGAAAAACAAGAAATTTTTCTGAAATGTTACTTTGGTGGGTGAGACACACACGTAGAGATAGAGACACACACACACACACACACACACAGACACACACACACACACACACAGACACACACACACACACACACACACACACACACACACAGAGAGACATACACAGAGACATAGAGACACGCACACACATTTATAAATTAAGAATCTCAGAATATTCCAGTTTTTACTTTGAAATGTGTGCCTTTGTTCCTGGTCGATTCCCAACGTAGTGATACCCTCATGATGTCAGAATATTAGAGTTGTTATTTGGATGCCATCATAATGAAAGATAACGCATGAATAGTTTAAATCTCCTGTGGGTCAGTTTCCTGTGGGTTTTGAAGGCTCTTGAGGACTTCCTGTGCGCTGACGCTCCTTCCTGTCTCGGTTTTCTGTTGAGTGTGAAAGTTATTTTTATAAACTCAGCAAACCTTTTTTCTATGTACATATAAAGTTGTATTTTTCTAACTGTACCTGAATGCTTCACCGTGATGATGATGGCTGCCTGCATCGGTAATCTGAAATATAAACACTTGTTTTTGGACTTTCTGTGTTGTGCTTTACATGAAGTCGCCCGGCGTAGACACGTATAACTAATACAGTTTGTTCATAAGATCATACTGCATATTGTACCTAAACTCTGGGGTTTATGTCCTACATTTGTGAGGATGATATAGAGAAGCTACGATACTCATTTACCCACTATTTCCCAGGTTTCTTCAGGTAAATGAAACCCTCTAATCTAATCCCAATTACCTCGCTAATCATGGAACATTATCTCTCCCATATCCCCATATTGTTTTTAAACCTACAGTTGCCCTAACCCGCTGTCGTTTGCTATAGTCACACCTGAAATTATTTTATAAATTATTTTGTATATTAAGTGTTCTTAAAGGTCCCATGTCATGGCCATTTCTACTGATCATAATTCCATTGTTGAGGTCTACTAGAATAGATTTATATTGTTCAATGTTCCAAACTCACATTGGTTTCTCATACAGCATCTCTGTATAGCATGTGTATTCACTCTCTGTCCTACACGGCTTGTTGGAGCTCCGGCCCCCCCTCCCTGTGAGCCCAGTGTGCTCTGATTGGTCGGGACGTTGCGAGGCTCGTTGCTGCGAGGAGCAGACAGGTTTCCGGGTCGGTGATACAGCGAGAACAAGCGAAACTCATCCTGAGCACACACAAACACTCACAGCTGAAGTAAAAACAATAAGTGTGGCTTGATATTGAGTAAGAAAAAGGTTTATAACGTTGTGAGAATGGATCTGCGGAGAGCATTTCTCCGCCATCCAAACTCGTCTATTACCAACCAGGGAGCTCTATGCAAGTCAATGGGACTCCCTGTTAGTTAGCCAAGGGATCCCGGTGTGTGAGGTGCTCCGCGGATTGGTCCATTTGGGCCAATCCGGTCATTTGTTGTTGATTTGGGTATAGAGTGGCGAAGTCCCTCCCCTTCCGGTGGACCTCCATGGGACCTTATTTCGGAAAAATTATGTATTGAAGTCAATGGAGAGAAAAAGATTATCTTTCGATCCCGTTTGAATTGTGCCACGAATTACACATATGATGTTTGTCAATTTAAAAGATAATTTTGCAAGTAAAAAAAAAAAAATGTGTCGTAAAACTGTGAAGTAACACATTTGTTTGTGTGAAACGCTCAATGAACTACATCTCTGGTCAACAAGACACGTCACCAAGATGGCCATCACTACTGTCTTGTCAACAAAACGATTGACTACCCTCACTATCACCACAATGAAACATGTCCTGAAGAATGTCATGCAAAGCTGCCTGCCTGCCTTCCTTTGATTCTCTCTGAACTGCCTGGTCTTTTTAATGTTAAATGTCAACCATTTGTGCAGATAGCATGAAGTAGAGAAGATCGCCGATGCTAATGTAGCGTTAGCGTTAGCGTTAGCATTTCTCCTCCGGGCTTAAAGTGGACCGATCATGCTATATTTGAATAATATAGTGTAGGACCATACCTATATAAGGCATATTTATACTTTTTTTTTCTTCAAAATACCAAACAGATCATGCATTTTAGCCATGCCTCATTTTGCTCAATTTGACAATTTCTAGCTCTGTTTTTGCAAGGGCATATTCAGTGAGAACAGCACCATCTACTGGCCTGGCATATGTACTACAGCGTCTCCAGCGCTTTCGAACGGCAATGGCCGTGGCTGTCTCCTCCTGATTGGTGGAGTTGGCCCAATAGCCGTAGCGCTGACGTCAGGACAGTGTTCAAATCTGGATCAGTTTTTATCAGATCCGTTGCAGCCCCTTTTTTAAAGATTTGGGTATGGAGGAAAATAGAGAGGGTTGTGTTTTCTGACACTTGGTGAGTTCCCTGGAACACCGGGGACACGTATTCATGTATAAAAGACGTACAAAAGTGCATTTTGCATGATAGGTCCCCTTTAAATGGTGTATTATAGAATGATCACACCGGTGTGACAGTACTCTTCACGAAATATGACTACTACTCTTACTGTTTAACATTTTGGGTTACTTAATGGTACTTCATGTTAAGGCTAATAAAAATCACAAGGCTAAGCCGGCTGTAATGCTAACTAACGTGCTTGCTACTAGCTATGTAGCTAACTTGATCAAGCCACTCCTGGTCCTTTCATCAGACGGGAAGCGAAAGAACGAGTAAGACCCATTGCTGGTATGATAACAACCTGGTACTAAGCACACAGGCATCTTGTTAAAGTTATCTTATCTTAGCTATCTCTATTTTAGTGGAGGAAAACAATTGTGACATCACTTACGCGACTCTGGGATTTGTAGTCTTTCTAATTGCATATTTTTCATAGTCTTATATTTCAACAGTTTTACGACAAACTGACTTTTTTGACATGGAAATTATTTTTTAAGATTGACAAACATCATATGTGTAATTCATGGCACAATTCAAACGGGATCGAAAGATAAGTTTTCTCTCTCCATTGACTTCAATACATAATTTTTCTGAAATAAGGTCCCATGGACTTGAAGTAGATGGGCGTGACTTCGCCACTCTATTCACACGTCACAGAACCCAGGAAGTAAACAATGGAAAAAGAGAAATCTCCAACGAGGCGTTCTGGGGCAGCATAGACAGGTCTTTTCTGTGTTAGAGTGTTCCTCCCTACAGGGTGTACTTTGAGGGTTTGTGACTCTGCAGACCGTTTACATGCATAAAAACCTTCATAACACAAGGGGACGGGTAAGAACCGGAAAAGCATGACATGAGCCCTTTTTAATGTTATATTTAATATGCAAATTAGGTATTATCTCAATATTTTAATGTTGATGAATAGGGAAATAAAAGCAGAATAGCACATTAAATAAAATAATTCCTCACAAGTTCAGAAAACTTGTAATACAGAATAAGTGTTAAAGCTCCCATGTCATGCTTTTCCGGTTATTACCCGTCCCCTTGTGTGTTATGAAGGTTTTTATGCATGTAATGGCGCGTTTCCACTACAGCGCGGAGCACGGTTTAAGAGGGCTGTGACGTCAGCGGCCCGTCTTTGGTTGCGTTTCCACTTGGCCTAGTACCGGCCGGCGGGTCCTAATTCACAGTTTTTCTGGCCTCATAAAATCGCGGGTCTAGGGCCAGAGACAACGAGGCTGAGTCGGGCTGAGTATGCTAAACTAGAGAGAGCATCGCTGGCAAGGGGGCTACAACTACAACAAGATGGACATATTTGACCGTGATTTAATTGTAATACACGTTTCAAAATGATACCGAAGTAACAACATACTGATACCGGTTAGTAAAAACCATGAATTAATGCTTTGTCAAGTCTGCAGACAGACGGCAGGCGAAAAACCTTTTAAAATGCGTGTGTTCTAAATGGAGATTGGCTAAGCTAACGCAGTATATGCTCCGACCGTCCACACTCACAACAACGGCCTATACAGACATAAATAAAGCAGCGACTGTATTCACCATGACACAGGCATTCTGTGGTTTGTACTTGTTTAACTTTTGTCTAGTTTCTGAACATATATGAGGAGCTGTGAGCTCTGAGTGCTAACAGCTAACGGCTGTGTTGTTTTTCTGGGGTTCTCTGAAGATCACGTCACGGCTCCGCCTACACTGCGTTACTATAGATACTACCCCAGTTCCTAAACTGTAATGGAAATGCGCCATAAAGTGAGCCAGTCCTAACGAGGCCCAGCCATACCGAGCGGGGCCGAGCGAGGCCGTGTAGTGGAAACGCGCCATAAACGGTGTGCAGAGTCAAAACCCTCAAAGTACACCCTGTAGCGAGTCAAAACTCTAACACAGAAATACCTCCCCAAAACGTCTCGTTGGAGATACGTCACTGTCCATTTGATTCTTCCGGGTACCGCATGATGTCATGCGGTACCCGGAACAAAATGGACCAATCCGGAAGAGCTATGGTCACACCCAGCGGCGCTGGCCGCACCCTCTGCCAGCCTAACATTTACTGTTGGAAGCTCTGGTTCAGTTCACAATCGATCCAGTCATGCCAATGCCAAGGACCTGTTTCCTGAAATGTAAGGAGAAATCTGAGCTGCTTGTCCTACCGACGGAAGAACCACGACGAAGTCAGTGGTTGAAATTTCTTTTTAACACTGTTCCTTCAGAGGTTCGAAGAACGTTACTGTGTGCGCGGCATTTCACAGACGAAAGCTTCCAAAACATTGCCCAGTTTGAGGCCGGATATGCACAGCATTTGAAACTGAAGGACGATGCTATTCCTAGTTTGTTTGGACCGTTTGGAGCAGGGGAAGATTTGGGTACACAACCTGTAAGTTTGCATTGTTATTTGTGTATTTATCAAACAAGACTGTTTAAATGTGTAAACTGTGTCGGACTGCTAAGCCATTGACACAGTGCTAACTGTGCTAACTAAGTTGCTAGCGTTTCCATATATCAACTCTAATATCAGCAGATGGTGGTATCTCATAGCAGGAGAATGTCTGCATTCACACACGAAATACTCATAGACAGTATACTCCGGGTGATTTGCCGTACGGTCAGTCGCGAAACGTAATTACATTATAGCTGGCGTAGCGTGTATGCTACCGAGCTAACCAACGGAGCTAGACATGGGTTTGCTCGGGAAAAATGTTTTGTTATGCCAGCTACAATGAATGTAGCAGACTACCCGTATAAGATTGCAATAGTAAACACGTTTTTGCTAGCCTAATATGAATCACTAGCTTTTGTTCATATTGGTTTTATTACACTAAACAAGCCCAGCTTACTGGGCTAACGACGTTGCTAGCGTTTAAATATATCAACTACAATGTCAGCAGGTGGCCTTACATGTTTGTCATGGCAGGAGAATGTCTGCAGTCACACACGGAATACTCATACAGTATACTCCGGGTGATTTACCGTACATTGTGACAGTACATGTACATACTGCATGTATAGCTAACGAGGCTAGCTATACATGCTAGCGCAAAACAATGTATTCATGCCAGTTACAATGAATGACCGAACGTAGCAGACTACCCGTATAAAATTGCAATTATAAACACGTTATTGCTAGCCTAATATGAACCACTAGCTTTTGTTCATAGTAGTTTTATTACACTACATTATAGTTGCCGTTCCACCGAGCTTGCGTTCATATCGTGTTAGCTACCAAAGTAAACAAAGCTAGGTTAGCATATTAGCTGGCAAGCTTACTGTGTTCATTAGATAGATGGATTAGATAGATCCACACTCCTACCACAACTACTACTAACGAATCTAAAACAACTAAGTTTCTCTAATATTTTGTGATTTGCATTTGATTTCATCCAGCCAGATCCTGCCGGAAAATACATGATGGGACTACCACACTTACCCCTTTCACACCAACGCAACTCCGGTTCAAGCTCCGTGCTAGAGCTTTTCAGGTTCAGAACCGGTACTTCGGTTTAGCTCCGGCTCTTTTCACACCGCTCAGAGCCCGACTGGTGCTGCCGCTGCTGCGTCATGACGTCACAGTTTACGTCGCTGATTTTCTCCCCAACGGAGCTCACCTCACAACAACAACGGGCCGGGGACTGCGTTGCTTTTAATCATACGAAGCCAGATTAAATTAAATAACGACTTCTCCAACCTTATACTTTTCTCCAGAGTGCCGTGGTTCATTGTTTATTAATGTGTTTCAGCGGCATTTACCGACCGCTGCAGTGCTGCTGCTCTTCCACGAGTGTATTCTCCCGTTAGCTCCGGGTTAGCTCACACGGCTCTAAAGTATTCACTGTCTGACTGTCACACAAGCAGCTGATACATATCCCCAGTTCCCTTTAAGTGAATGTGTGTCAGTCTGAATTGACGCTGTTTGGCATCACAACGCTGTTATGAAAGTTTCTCTGGTATAACATGGGTGATGTTAGCATAGCAACCGAAGCTAAACTGACTACTTGCTACGCCGTTTTCTCCAGGCACTTTTTACCGACGTATTTTTCATTATGATTCTACTTGTGATAGTCGGACATGACAACCTGTGCAGCCCATGTATTGATTCCATCCGATAGCTGCTATAATAACAAACAAAACGTCTGCCTGCTCTCCACAATGATCAATAACAGCGAACGGATGGTCAAAGTAAGGTACAAATAAACAGAATCACACGAAGCCTGGTTAGTGTTGCCTGACTTTATAAAGTGTGTTTTTTTTTAACAAGTGTGTGGTTGCGTTCTAGTCACTTTGCTCAGCACTACTGCTTGTTACAACTTTTATTTGCCGTACTCGCCTTAACTGTTAGCTCAGGTTAATCTCGCCCCCCTCCGACGTAAGCGTGACGTATGCGGTTCTTGCTTCTACACGGACAACATTTTGGTGCTCGAAACGAACCGGATTCCGGAGCTTAGAGGCTGCTCCGCTGCGGTGTGAACAGGAAAACCCGGTGCTTTTCAAGCACCAGCACCGAACCGGCCCCGAAACACCGTTGGTGTGAATGGGGTAAGAGATGCATCGTCCTAAAAAGCCCCGGCTGCGATAGGCAAGATGCCAACAACGGGGAGGAATTGATGATATACCGTGTATATATGTATATGTATATTTATGTTCATTTTGTACATTTCTAAAAATAAAGTTTAATGGAAATACTTAGTAGGCCTATCCTTTCTTCCCTGAATTATTTGCTCCTATAACATATCATTCATATATAGCAAACCATGATTTGATTTCTCATCAAACAGTAGTAGTTTATTACAGGTAAAAATGACTTACTCTTTGTTATGACCGGCTCGTAGGCCATAACGGAAAGACAAGGAGACATACACGAGTTTACAAAACCACGGCACATTTATTGTGGTAAATGCAGAGATAGGTGGTCGAGGGCAGAGGATCGCCGAGTTCGTCCTTCTGCAGCCGCTTTGGAGAGAGACAGGGGCCGCCGTATGACTCCGGGCAGCTGGGCTTAATAGCACCTCGGCTCCGGCCAGGTGTCCGTGATCGCGCTGATTAGCCTCTTCAGCTCCACCCCATCGTAAGACCTGCAACACACTCTTCTATAACAACAGTTGTAGGTACAGTTCGGTTAGTTAGCGTATAAAATATACGGCTGTACCGACGCCATTATAAGACTGATGTTCCGAGAGCGAGCCGAAAAAAGCACTGTTAGACATGGGCGGAGCCTCTCTGGCGGTTGACTAATCAGAACAGAGTGGCCGAGCTGACCAATCGGAGCACACTAGGCTCACAGGGAGGGGGGGGGCAAGAGCTCCAACGAGTCGTTTAGTGGAGAGAGTGAATACTGCTGAATACACATACTTTACAGAGATGCTGTATGCGAAACCAATGTGAGTTTGGAAAATTGCACAGTATAAATCTATTTTAGTATACCTCAACAATGTAATTATGATCAGTGGAAATGGCCATGACATGGGCCCTTTAATGTCAGTAATACACTGAGGAAGCCTCACAGTGATAAATAGTATATTTGTAGTCATTTTTAATGTTATTAAACTACATCTCCCATGAGACCTTATCATTCAGCCACTGGGCTTTTGGGGATATTCCTGCCCAGCGCAGATAGAACTGTTCCTGCCCATCTCGTGGATTACGGCCGATCAGTGTTGATTGACGTGTCCTCCGTCCAATCAGCGGCAGCGCGGAGGTGCTCGGCCAACCCCGTGGCAGGTGGGCGGGGCCTGTGTGTGAGGGGGTTGGCCGCGATGTATCATGGAGGATCAGTAGGCAGACTGTGGCCGTAAGAGAGCAGCTCTCCGGACTCTATACTCCGTTATCCACCGTGTTATCCTCCGTTCACCCGACCTCCACACACCCGAACATGGACATGAAAAAGAGGATCACGCTGGAGCTGAGGAACAGGGGCCCGGCGGAGGTGAGAGGCTTTTATAACACTGTAATAATGTGAGATATCCCTGGAGGTGATGAGGTGAAGCATCTCCTCTGATCCCGGCTCTCTCTCCCCGTCACACAGCACTCTATTCCCGGCTTGTTATCTCACAGCTTCCCGGTGTTCCTCCATTTTCTTTAAAAACACCTTCACTAATAAGTGTAAACTTTACTGAAGACCCGGATGTTCGGAGGAGTTCGGCGGGAATAACGACGGAGAGAGAGAGCGAGAGAGATAGTGTAACCGAGCGGACATTTTAAATCACCAACGGCTCAAACTTCGACGGAAACATCTCGGGTTTAACATTAAAACACGTTTATCTGAGTTTAACTGGACAAACGAGTACATTTAAGGGGCTTTTTGGAGGCTTTTGTCGACATCTTTCCGCGGAGGTCACAGATAGTAACGCGTTACAGATTTACCGTACAGAGAGCGGATTAATGGCTGCTTCATCCGGGGCTTTTATCTGTGTTATCGACCAATATTTCATGTTAAACTACAGTAACGAATAATACAGTAAAGGGCAGTTACTGTAACGAGATTACTGAGTAACGACAATTCCGAGTAACGAGATTACAGAGTAACGAGAGTTCAGAGTGACGGGTTTCGGGGTAACGAGATTACAGAGCAGCGTTACTCGAGGCTTTAAAATAGATTACTGTCCGGATTACTATTGCAGAATTCTATTATCTTAATTAAAACATGCATGTTATATGATGTAATATAACACACATGTTGTATTGCATCATATAACATATATATTGTATGATGTAATATCCATTAAATAGTTATTAATAATAAAACACGGTGTTATTCGGAGTGCCCTCAGAGCTCCTTCTCTATGTGTGCGATTAAGTTATATAACTGACTGCCAACCGATCAGCTCCCGTTAAAGAACACACACACACACACTTGTGCTTTACGTTCAGTTTTAATTCACTCTGAACTGAGAATAAACTCAAATGACTGGTGTCATGTTTTATGAATTGGGGGATGCCGACAGATGGCGAGTGTGTGTGTGTGTGTGTGTGTGTGTGTGTGTGGAGGCTGAGCGGACAACCCCCACCACATGCACACACACACTGCATGTAGATTATAGTAGGTTAAACCCCCTATACACACACACACACAGTGCCTGTTGCCTGCAGCTCTAGCTCTGAAACACTGAAGCGCTGCTGTTACATAAGAAGGAGAACCAAGAGGAACTCTGGGAAATAAAACAGCAACCAGTCTGAACAAAGTCCTGCACACACACACACACACACACCTATATCCCTACAGTGTGTATACATTATTATTCTGCAGGGCATTGTGGTTTAAATATCACAATATGTAATATCTAGTAATGTCTGGGCGTAATAACTAAAGCTGAAATCTATTTCTGAAATGACAGGAAAACATTCAGATTTATTAATAATGTATTAATATAATTACATGAATATAAAAGGGGCATTTTAGAGTTTCACTTTGTTATTATCCCGCCAGTATTCTTCAAGATATGATCACAATATCTATAGAAGATAGCCCAGTCTCTGATTGGTTAGCGCTGGCTCTGTTGTGATTGGTAAGTCACTTGGAGCACAACAAAACTTTATAAATATTTTACAAATAGTGCAATTATTGTCAATCCTGGTCTATCAGCACAGCCCTAATGCAGATACATATAGATAACCAATAAGATCAATAACAGGTCCTAAAGTAGGTTTAATCTGTTCATTATGCTACAACAATACAACAACAATACAGATGTAAACATAGCTTTAATAAGGAATATGTATAGAAATATATAATAATGATTGTTGTTGTTGTCAGTGTTAAACTGCAGGTATCCTTTAGATAAGAATATTTAATGGACAGTAAACATGCTGAGTGAATTGTTATAACTGTAAGTCGTTTTTTTTACTGAGAATCTCCTCGTTATCCACACATTTCTTTAAATGCAGAGCGGCTGAAGGCTCAGGACCCCCTGCTGGTTAGGGGAGGTGCAGAGAGGTGGATGGAGGCAGACGATCTGAGAGTATGTGTTTACCAGGTCATTAAAGCTATGGTTTTACCTCTAAATGACTCTCTCTCTCTCTCTCTCTCCTCTCTCTGTGTGTGTGTGTGTGTGTGTGTGTGTGTGTGTGTGTGTGTGTGTGTGTGTGTGTGTGTGTGTGTGTGTGTGTGTGTGTGTGTGTGTGTGTGTGTGTGTCAGATAGCGGAGCTGGTGGTGGATAACAGCCGCTCAGCAGACGGTCAGGTGGAGGGTCTGACGGACGCCTTCACTGAGCTGGAGTTCCTCAGCATGGTCAACGTGGGCCTGAGCTCTCTGAGCAAACTGCCTTGTCTGCCCAAACTACACAAGGTACACACACATAGACACACACACACACACACACACACACACACACAGAGAATGAACATGTTAGAAATATAGAAACGACGCTGCAGCAGCTTCCTGAGTCTCAATGTTTTGACCTGTTCTTCAGTTTTAAAGAGGGCCTGCTGATGTTGATATTAGTATTTAGAGTCTCTACTGTGATCCTATTGGTTCCCAAACGTGCTGCTGTTAGCGTGTTAGCTTGTGTTATGTTGACTTCCTCTATTTCACAATAAAAGTCTCACATGGTGCTGAGTTGATAGTTACAGTCAGTATCTAAGCCTTCACATCACGAGGTCAGGGGGGTAAACTCAAATAAATAGTACTGAAAGTAAAGTACTTACTTTTTTACTTTAAAGTACTAAAAAGGAACTGGTATCCTCCTGCTGTCTCCTCAGTGTGATGTGAGGTAGTTAGCTACAGAGAACGCTAGCTGGTGTTAGCTTAAGGTGTGTGTTCAGAAGGATTTACCTGACCAGGTGTTCACTCTCCTGTTGGAAGTGACCTCAGTCCTCTCTCACCCTCCTCTGGTTCAGTATCTGAGGAGGATCGTTTTAAAGAGATCCTAGATTTCATGATTTATAAATCCCAGGAGCATCAGGTGAACCCTCCTCAGGTGAGTGTCCAGGTGATGTTAACCTACTTCCTGTTTCCTGTGCAGCTGGAGCTGAGCGACAACAACCTGTCCGGCTCTCTGGAGACGCTGTCAGAGAAATGTCCAAACCTCACCTACCTGAACCTGAGCGGGAACAAGATCAAAGAGCTGAGCAACGTGGAGGCTCTGGTAAGACACACACACACAAACACACACACACAAACACACACACACACACACACACACACACACACACACACACACACACACACACATATAATATACACATACACACACACACACACACAGACACAGATATACACACACACACACACATATGATATACACACAGAGACACACACACACACACATATAATATACACACACACACAGACACACACATACACACACACACACACACACATACGCATACACACATATACACACACACACACACACATATATAATATACACACAGAGAGACACACACACACACACACCAGGGTTCCCGCGGGGTCTTAAAAAGTCTTACATTTGACCAAAAAAATAAGAAAGGTCTTAAATATGATTTAGAAGGTCTTAAAAATGATGGGATTTGAAAGGTATTTCTGTGTTGCGATCGCGTCTAAATGTGTTTTGGGGGAAATGTCCGGGCTGCAAAGTAACCAGTACGGTAAGAGCCTTTCAGTTCCCCCCAACAATCTGTATTGAAATAAATCAACATGGAACCAGTAATTACTAACTTTGTTTCCCCCGGCCCCTTATCGGAGAACACCCAGCTAGTAACCTATAGCAACCAAGCTTCAGCTAGCGGCAGTCAGAAACTCATGTATCTTCAAATCTACTTCCAAATAAATATGGGGAAGTGTAAGTTCAACCGTATTTGGTTGGAAAACATCGAATTTAGTGCTTGGTTGAAACCAGTGGAGGGGAACGTGTTTGAAGCCCGCTGCACCTTTTGCAAAATACATTTGCGTTTGTTTTGCTAATGTAGCGTTAGCTAGTGCAGCGTTAGCTAGTGCAGCGTTAGCTAGTGCAGCAGCTCCCGCAACAACATCGGGGGACCTCCGGGCAACGTTTGGGTCTACGTCAACCCTAAAAGCAGAGGTGCTGTAGACGCTAAATACCGTAGTTAAACACCAATCATACAACAGCAACGATGAAAGATTGTAGCCAAGGCAGCAGAGCTCTGAATAGCTCCTCTCACTCTCACACTTTTATCTCACCTTTTAATTCCATGTTTTCTGTCCGTTAACGTACCTTTAAAATGAAATAAATGTTATGTTTATTACGTTTTATTACGTCTTCGAAACAGAACATTAGCACATTCATAAACCCTCACTTAATTGAAATGTTTATAATAAATAACTTTAAGGACCGAAAAACCATCACCTATTTATTTAAAGAAAAACCTGAGTCATTAAAGCCCTGAGTCATTAAAGACCTGAGTCATTAAATACCTGAGTCATTAAAGACCTGAGTCATTAAGGACCCGAGTCATTAAGACCTGAGTCATTAAGGACCTGAGTCATTAAAGACCTGAGTCATTAGGACCTGAGTCATTAAGGACCTGAGTCATTAGGACCTGAGTCATTAAGGACCTGAGTCATTAAGGATCAGATATAATTTACTGTGTCTGTTAGGGTTTCTACTAAATATCATTTATGTAACATATATATATATATACTTAGCTTTAAAGGACAGTGGAAGGAGGCAGATGGTGAACATTTTGAAAACACAAACTTTATTTATTTTATATCCCAATAAAGTGAAACACAGAAACACACACACACTTAATCTGGGTTTTATTTAAGTTACACAGTGATGAAGTAGTGACGGTACACACACACACACACACACACACACACACACACACACACACACACACTAGGGCTGCTCGATTATGGCAAAAATCATAATCACGATTATTCATTGACTTTGAAAACATCCATTTATTGAACTTTAAAACAAATAATAATTTGAACAGTATCTTTTTAACTGTTGATTACCCTGAACCTTTATATATACAGTCTATGCCCTGAACGTATAATTCAACTGAAAAACCAATACAAAAATAAATTATACGTTTTTTTCGATTATGTTGTTTTCGTAATTGTGGCAGGCCAAAATCGTAATTGCGATTAAAATACGATTAATTGCACAGCCCTAACACACACACACACACTTTTTGTCTAACACGCTAACACAGTTCAGTGGACTGTTATGCTGTTATGTTCAGTCATGTTCTTATGTTGAACATGAATACATTTACTTTGTAAGTAATTATGGGACGTATTTCTTCTTTCATAGCAATTTTCCTTCATACTTTCTTGCCGTGAAATAGAGTTGGCGAAACCTGCAGGAACCCTGACACACATATAATATACACACACACACACACACACATATGATATACACACTCACTCTCTCAATCAAACACACACGCTCACACTCACTCTCTCACACACTCTCACTCACTCACACACACACACTCTCAATCACACACACACGCTCACACTCACTCTCTCACACACTCTCTCACTCACTCACACACACACACTCTCTCAATCACACACACACGCTCACACTCACTCTCTCACACACTCTCTCACTCACACACACACACACACTCTCTCTCAATCACACTCACACATATAATATACACACACACAGACACACACATACGCACACACAAATACACATATAATATACACACAGAGAGACACACACACACATAATATACACAGACACACACATACACACACACACACACACACACACACACATATGATATACACACTCACTCTCTCACTCACTCACACACGCTCACACTCACTCTCTCACACACTCTCTCACTCACTCTCACACATAATATTCACACACACAGAGACACACACACACATATAATATACACACTCACTCTCACACTCACTCTCTCAACGTGCTCCTGTGCTAACGTGCTCCTGTGCTAACGTGCTAACATGCTACGTACCCCCTGCAGGTGAACCTGAAGAGCCTGCAGAGCCTGGACCTGTTTAACTGTGAGATCACGTCTCTGGAGGACTACAGGGAGAGTGTGTTCGAGCTGCTGCCTCAGGTCACCTTCCTGGACGGGTTCGACCAGGAGGACAACGAGGCGCCCGACTCTGAGGGGGACGACGACGGTGAGAGAGAGACACACACAGAGAGAGAGAGAGACACACAGAGACACACACTCACTCACCTACGTTTTTCCTTGCCATATCTACACTTGTAGCTAATGTGCAAATGACAATAAAGCCTTGAAACTTGAAACTGTCACACACACACAGAGACACACACAGAGACACACACAGAGACACACTCAGAGACACACACAGAGACACACACAGAGACACACACAGAGACACACTCAGAGACACACACAGACACACAGAGACACACAGAGACACAGAGACACACACAGAGACACACACAGAGACACACACAGAGACACACACAGAGACACACAGAGACACACACAGAGACACACACAGAGACACAACACAGAGACACACACAGAGACACACAGCCACGTTCAAAAATCAAGAGAGTAACATGGATTTCTGCTTATTTAGAAATAATTCCTGGATCATGTAAAATTACTAAGTGTGTGTGTCTCTCTCTCTCTGTGTGTGTGTGTGTGTGTGTGTGTGTGTGTGTGTGTGTGTGTGTGTGTGTGTGTGTGTGTGTGTGTGTGTGTGTGTGTGTGTGTGTGTGTGGTGTGTGTGTGTGTGTGTGTGTAGATGATGACGGTGAGGATGGAGTGGCTCCGGTGGGAGACTATGACGATGATGAGGATGAAGAGGAGGATGAGGACGGCTCAGAGGGGGGGGAGGGGGCGGCGCCGCTCAGCTTCCAGGTGAACCGAGCAGCTCAGGTAAGACAATCTGACTGTCGACCAATCAGAGAGCAGCTGCTGCTTTTATTCTGAAAGTATTCATCCTTTTCCTTCTCCTGCTTCCTGTCAGGACGATGACGACGACGATGACGAGTTTGGAGACGAAGAGGAGGAAGGTGAGTGAAGCATCATGGGATTATTATTATTGATTATCTCTCTCTCTGACTCTCTCTCCTCTGATTGGCTCTCTCTGTCTCTCTCTCTCTCCTCTGACTCTCTCTGACTCTCTCTCTGATTGGCTCTCTCTGACTCTCTCTCTGATTGGCTCTCTCTGACTCTCTCTCTCTGATTGGCTCTCTCTCTGACTCCCTCTCTCTGATTGGCTCTCTCTGACTCTCTCTCTCTGATTGGCTCTCTCTGACTCTCTCTCTGATTGGCTCTCTCTGACTCTCTCTCTCTGATTGGCTCTCTCTCTGACTCTCTCTCCTCTGACTCTCTCCTCTGATTGGCTCTCTCTCTCTGATTGACTCTCTCTCTCCTCTGACTCTCTCTCTGATTGGCTCTCTCTGACTCTCTCTCTCTGATTGGCTCTCTCTGACTCTCTCTCTCTGATTGGCTCTCTCTCTGACTCTCTCTCTCTGATTGGCTCTCTCTCTGACTCTCTCTCTCTGATTGGCTCTCTCTGACTCTCTCTGATTGGCTCTCTCTGACTCTCTCTCTCTGATTGGCTCTCTCTGACTCTCTCTCTGATTGGCTCTCTCTCTGACTCTCTCTCCTCTGACTCTCTCTCTCTGATTGGCTCTCTCTCTCTGATTGACTCTCTCTCTCTCCTCTGACTCTCTCTCTCTGACTCTCTCCTCTGATTGGCTCTCTCTCTCTGATTGGCTCTCTCTCTCTGATTGACTCTCTCCTCTGATTGGCTGTCTCTCTCTCTCTGACTCTCTCTCCTCTGACTCTCTCTCTCTGACTCTCTCCTCTGATTGGCTGTCTCTCTCTCTCTGACTCTCTCTCCTCTGACTCTCTCTGACTCTTTCCTCTGATTGGCTGTCTCTCTGCAGAGGACCATGCGGGGGTGCAGGGAGAAAAGAGGAAGAGGGACGTGGACGACGAAGGCGAGGATGACGAAGACGATGAAGAGGATTAATCTGTCTCAGGAACTTTGTGATAGTTTGTTTGTTCTAGAATCTCACGTCTTTATTTTTAGATAATATATAAGAAGAGTTTATCAGGACTGTTCCCTTTAAACCTGCTGCTGACTTCCTGTTGGCAGAGGACTACACAATGATGTCACTTCCTCTCCACCAATCGGACTCTTCAGGAGTCTAAGCCCCGCCTCCCTGCAGATCGGGGGAGTCTAAGCCCCGCCTCCCAACAGACTCCACTTCCTGTCTCTCTGCATCATATCTCTGGACTTCCTGTCGTTTTGACTCTCAGGCCCCGCCCCCTCGTGTTCATCCCTGGTCACGTGACTGCTGTCTGCAGTCTGATTGGTTATTGGGGGGGGGGGGGGAGTATTAGCTCTGATGTTTGTTTTGTCTCTGAACACCTGTTAGTGTTTTTTAGTTTGACGTCAAACTGCCCCCCCCCCTCCCCTCGTTAGTGGCGCTTCAGGCTCCGCCCCATGAAAAACAAAACAACCCCCGTGGTGCGTTCAGGTGCTCCTGTCTGTTTACATCCAATCCCGTTTAAGTATGTCGG